TAGGTGTTTCACCTGTTGGGTTGGCTTTGTTCCTAGGTGTCTTATTGGTGGAATTGTAAATGGGACCAATTCCTCAATTGTTCTCTGCTACTTCGTTATTGGTGTATATAAATGCAACAGGTTTCTATACATTTGTGTTGTATCCTGCAGCTTTACTCAATTTATCAGTTCTAGTAGTTTTTTGGTGGAGTCTTTCAGGTTTTCTACTTAGAATATCACGTTGTCTGCGAATAGTGAAAGTTTGACTTCTTCCTTGCCCATTTGTCTGGCTTTGTATGCCTTTTATTTCTTTTTGTTGCCTGACTGCTGTGGCTGGGACTTCCAGTACTGTGTTGAATAATAGTGTTGAGAGTGGACATCTCTGTCTTGTTCCTGATCTCAGCAGAAAAGCTCTCAGTTTTTCTCCATTGAGGATGATGTTAGCTGTAGTTTGTGGTCTTCATGACCATGTTCCCACTACACCTGCTTTGTTGAGGGTTTTTATATGAATGGATGCTGTACTTTGTCACATGCTTTTTCTGAATCTATTGAAATGATTATTTGATTTTTGTCATTTCTCTATTAGTGTGGTGTATCATATTGATTGATTTATGAATGTAATCACCTTTGCATCCCCAGAATAAATCCCACTGATTGTGGTGAATGATTTTTTTAATTCTTTATTTATTTTTGAGAGAGAGACAGCGAGACAGAGTGTGAGTGGGGGGAGAAACAGAGAGAGAGGGAGACACAGAATCTGAAGCAGGATCCAAGCTCTGAGCTGTCAGCACAGAGCCCGACGTGGGGCTTGAACTCACGAACCACAAGATCATGACCTGCGCTGAAGTTGGACGCTTAACCGACTGAGCCACCCAGGTGCCCCATGAATGATTTTTTAAATGTATTGTTGGATGTGGTGGTGGTGGTTTGTTATTTTTATATCCATGCTCATTAGGGATATTGGCCTATACTTCTCTTCTTTTTATTGTCTTTATCTGGTTTTGATACAGTGCTGGCCTCATAAAGAATAGTATAATCCATTCATATATTGATGAACCCTTGGGCTGCTTCCATATCTTGGTTATTGCAAATAATGCTGCTGTAAACATCGGGGTGCACATATCCCTTTGAATTAGTGTTTTTGTATTCTTTGGGAAAATACCCAGTAGTGCAGTTGCCTAGAATTGTTGACTAGTTCTATTTTTAATTTTTTGAGGAACCTCCACACTGTTCTCCAGAGTGGCTGCACAAGTTTGCATTCCCATCAACAGTGCAAGAGGGTTTCCCTTTCTCTGCATCCTCACGTACACCCTTTGTTTCTTGTGTTAATTTTTGCCATTCTGACAGGTGTGATGTGATATCTCGTTGTGGTTTTGATTTGTATGTCTCTAATGATGAGTGATGTTGAGCGTCTTTTCTTGGGTGTGTTGGCCATCTGGGTGTTTTCTTTGGAAAAACATTTCTTTAGTTCCTCTGCCCATATTTTAATTGGATTTTTTTCTTTTTGGTTTTGAGTTGTGAAATTTTTTTTAAATATACTTTGGATATTAATCCCTTATTGTATATGTCTTTTGCAAATATCTTCTCCCATTCGGTAGGTTGCCTTTTTATTTTGTTGATTGTTCCTTTGCAGTGCAGAAATGTTACCCTCTTTGTTACAATTGTTTTCTTTTAAAATCTTTTTTTTAATGTTTGTTTATTTTGGGAAGAGAGAGAGTGCCAGTCGGGGAGGTGCAGAGAGAGGGAGACAACAGAATCCGAAGCAGACTCCAGGCTCCCAGCTGTCAGCACAGAGCCTGACGCGGGGCTCAAAGTCACAAACCGCGAGATCATGACCTGAGCTGAAGTCGGCGCTTAACCGACGGAGCCACCCAGGCACCCCAGTGTTACCCTCTTTGAATGAAAGATCTGTATAGGCTTCACAGCAAAAAAACCCACAAAAACAAAAAAGTTCCTATTTATACAATAAGTAAAATACATATTAGCATTTTAGAGGTTTTATTTGTGTGTATAGTCTTTTTTACTTGAAACAGTCACCTGAAAATTTATATAAAAAGTCTTGTTTCCTGATAAAATTTGACCTTTGTTTTTTCATTCATTCCACAAATATTTATTGAGTGTCTACTATGTGCTGTGCAGGGTGTTAGGAGAGATAAAGTGGTGATTGAAGTACTGCTTTTTGCTCATGGGGCTATATTCTTCAGAATATACCTTCTGAAGAAAGAGGCTCAAAAAAGAAACGGACAGAATATGTTTCTTCACAAGACGTGAAAGAGTGTTATGAAAGGAAACAAGGACTAAAACAGAATGAGGGAATGTAAGGACTGCTTTTATTGGTAATGGTACTTAAGATGGGTAGACCAGAAGGATCTGTCTGCTGAACTAGCATTTAATGTGCATATGAACCAGAAGGAGGGCGGGAGCCAGGCTGGGAGTGGAGGCCAGACCTCCTGAGGAACTGTCTTCTGCTCCAGGCCCGCCTGGGACCATGGAGACGGTCTGAACAGGAACGTGGCAGGCTCTCCTAGTATTCATTGAGAAATGAAAAATGTCATCTCAAGGAAGAAAATTCAGGACTATCTGTGCACATGAGAGAGAATGCTAATTTACATGGATCTGTTTTATACAGTTTGATGCTCATGTTTTGTGTAGGCTAAAATAGTTGCTTTTCTTTTTTAGCTGGATGAACTACAGCTTTGCAAGAATTGCTTCTATTTGTCAAATGCTCGTCCTGACAATTGGTTCTGCTACCCTTGTGTATGTGAAATTTTGTGATTTTCTGTTTTTTACCTCTTAAGTGTGTGATGTACTATTCTAAGCAAGGCTATTTCCCATTTATTTAAGGATTATAATCCTTCCTAGGTATTTTTCTTTGTATCATAGTATATACATGGGCTTAGTGAGCATAAAACCTGAAACACAGGGGAAACAACTTGGCATCATTACCCATTTCTGACTTTAAAATGAGGAACTTCAGAATAAACCCTTAACAGATAATAGAGTGAACTTCTGCTCTTCCCGTTTTTTTCACAAGAAAGATAAGGCTTCCTGTATGCTTGTGGCTATGTGTGGTCCCCTGGAATGACAGGATTTCAGGAAGGTCCCGACTGGTCTGTGCCTGTGGTCGGGGCTGCGCCCAGCCCTGGGCGTGCCAGGCTGCCTGTGGAGGACGACCCTGTGCTCCTCAGGTGCTCTGGGGTCTCTGTGATTCCCTAAGCCTGGAGCAGGACCTCAGACTTTCACATCTCTCACAGGCTCCCAGGTGCTGGAGTGCACCTTACAATGCAGTGAGGGTGTTGTGTTTGCCACTGTTACTCACGGGGTCTCGCCTTGGAGACTGGCTCGTCCCTAAGTGCTGCAGGCTGTGTTTTCTGAGAGATGAGGGTCCATATCTCTGCTCTTATGCAGACTGTAAGTTTTTGGTGCTTTACTTGAAGGCAGAATCAATCCGAGAAAAAAAAAGCTCTATGGGTTTAGGAGTTAAAAAAAAGAAGTGTTTTCAAAATACTGCACTATACTTCCTAAGTTGAGTATTAATGACATGTGTGCATTTAATACTTTGAAAATAACATGGTTACATAAAACATTTTATTTCCAGATACCTAATCATGAACTGGTTTGGGCCAAAATGAAAGGTTTTGGTTTCTGGCCAGCCAAGGTCCTACAGAAGGAGGACAACCAGGTTGACGTTCGCTTCTTCGGTCACCACCACCAGAGGTAAGCGTGATCCTGCGCCCACCAGGGCTGACCTCTGAGTGACCCTTGGGGCATCCATCAGATGGTCCTTGGTACTGGGAGGGCAGAAACAGTCTGTAGTTCAGTTTGGAGAAACAAATCACATCACCTTGGTGTTTTGTTGTTGTCGTCGTTGTTTTTGCATTTATTATCCATTGCTCTATTTGGTTAATTGTCTTTTCCTTTTTTCTTGAGAGTTCAGTAGATAAGTGCAGGGGAAAAAATTAATAAAAACCAGGAAATCTAGTACCCAGAATAGGAAATTACTAATACTTTGCCATTTTTGCCTTTTGTTTTGTTTTGGCTTTTAAAGTTTTTATTTAGTTCCAGTTAGTTAATATATGGCAGATCGGCATGGAGCCTGACGAGGCAGCTGACGACGATTTTTGCAAATGGTACTTGTAGTTTGGGCTCCCGACATGGTGTGATGCAGTACAGGCTCGGGCTGGGATTGCGTGGTGAGGCGGGTGTGGAAGGGCTCTAAGAATGTGGCCACTTCATGGTTTGTGAAGACAGGATGCCGTTTCAGGCACCTTTTCAAAGCTCTGTTAAAAGCCACAGACAAAAATCATCGACGTGGGAGCAGGAGACCATGTCGATCTTGTGATCTAAGGATGTGCATAAGAATTACAGGAAGGGAACTGCCAGACATGGTATCCAGCCTATATTTTGAAGTTCCTGTTGCCAGGGAGATGTGTACAGCCCAGCTTAAAACTTTACGTTTTCATGGTACAGTATCTGTATCCCAACAGTAAAAAGTTTCTGTTACTGTGAACTTGCTTTTATTAAAAAAAAAAAATTTTAAGGTTTATATGTATTTTTGAGGCAGAGCATGAGCAGGGCAGGGGCAGAGAGAGAGGGAGACACAGAATCTGAAGCAGGCTCCAAGCTCCGAGCTGACAGCCAGAGCCTGATGCGGGGCTCGAACTCACGAACCACGAGATCATGACCTGGGCCGAAGTCGGACGCTCAACCGACTGAGCCACCCGGGCGCCCCTGTAAACTTATTTTTGCATAGTTACGTATTTCATACAAAGAATGTGAACCATACTATGAAATTATAGCTGCCTCTTTCATTGTGATATCAAAGCCTTAAAGTATTGTTCTGAGTAACACTGTCACTAATAGCCGTGACTGGACACTGATGAAAGTTCACAGATACTAAAAGTAAAGGGGAAAAATAGCAAGTCAGCTACATGATCTAAAGGCCTTTCCAAGTATTTAAATGTCTGTCGTGCCTGAAGTTGTGAGGGTTTTATGTAATTACTGTCATTACTGTGAGAAACTATGGAACAAGAGACTTTATTCCTCTCCATAGTGAATTTTTAGTCTTCATTTAATTTAAATAGAAGTTTAGTGGCAAGAAACCTACAGATAGTGTAAGTTTCCAAAAACGTAGTTCCGTTCCTTCAGAGATAGATGCATCCCTAGCTGATGCTGTCAAGGCAGGAAACATGGGTAATCCCACCATTGACTACAGAATGAATGCTTTGTATGGATTATGAAGTAGCAGCACATTGTATTGGGTTTGTTACCGTGCCCCATCAGAACGGGGATGGAGGGGTGGGGAGGCCTGGACAGGGGTACGGAGGGCGACCTCTGTAGCAGTGGAGAGGGCTGGTGGGCTCCACCGTGGCTCGTGCTCTGGCATGTGCTTGTCCTGCTCTGGTCTCAGACACGGTGTTCAGTCTCTCTCAGCCTTGTTTCCTCACTTGTAAAATGAGGGCTTCCATAGCACATCTTGGAAGAGTTTCTCTGTAAGGGTTAAAGAAATGTTGGTACGTTCTGATCTAAGCATGGTGCCTGATGTGCAGCAAATCCTTAATAAAAGTCAGCTTATAGCACAAATATCCAAACAGGGAAGAAGTTTCATTAGTTAACCTAGAGAAACCAAGAATTCAGTTACTTTAAAAAAAAAACATACTACTAGGTTAGAACTGATAATCGGAACTTTTTAGCAGATTAAAAATTTTTTCATCCATTTTCCGACAGCTTCATAGTATCTACAACCATAAGTGGTATTTTGATAATGTGAGTTAATTTGTCTTATGTCATTCATTATACAATGCAGATAGTAATTTAAAATAATATTTGAGGTAATCTCCTTGGGTCCTTGGCATGTTTGTGATCTGAACAGAAAATTACAACATAAAATTCCATTTCCAGAGAGTTTTTTTTTTTTTCTTCCAAACTTATTACTTCCTGGAATCTAAAAAATCTAAAAAATTCTGGACAGATGGCTCTCTGAGGACTTTAGTTTAGAAAATACAGCTGACCCTTGAACAACAAGAGGATGGGGGTGCCAGCTCCCCCCCCAGTCCTAACTCACCTATGACTTTTGACTCCCCCAAAAGCTTAACTATAGCCTTTCTAATAATGTAAAGTTAACTCCTGCTTTGTATGTTACATGTATTATATGCTGTATTCTTACAGTAAAGGAGGAGAAAATACATTTACAGCCCTGTCCTATGTCAAAACAGTCTGTGTATGAGTGGACCCCTGCAGTTCAAGCCAGTGTTGTTCAAGAGTCAACTTTAACAGGTCTACAATTTTACTATAAATTCAGAATCTTTTCCTTTCCTTCTCTGGTTACAGTGTGCCTAATAAAATACTTGAACTAAATGAGTGATGAGGACATACCTTATAAGTTACACTGTATCTTACTGGCATATTTGATTTATTAAAAGCAATCTTAATACAGTTATAATAATGAGTTTTAATTAAGCAATATGTTACCAACCAAGAGGAGATGGCTAATAAAGGCCTAGCAGCAAGTTTTCACTAACACTGTTTTTAGCGTCATAACTGTTTACAGGTGCACATCTCGGTGGTGTTGAGTGCATTCATACTGTTAGGCAGCATCACTACCAATAAGTGTTCTTTTGCCAGTTCATCCTATCTTCGTACATAGGCAGGAGAAGGAAAATGTATATAAATCAATGGTCTTACACTAGTCCGCACTGTGTGCTCGGCACAGAGTGTGCTGCCCCTCCCCAGGGCCTATGCAGACTGTGACCGCACTCACTGGAAGCGGGGTTTTGCTAGGATTTGCACGGTTGGCCTGCCAGAGGAAAAAGTAGCGGGGCGGTCTGTGTCAACAAGGCTGAATCTCCGCTGCAGGTGGCCAGGGGCCCCGGGAGCCGGCAGGGAGCTAGCTACAGGCAGGAAGGAAGCACACCATTCTGAGCTCATTTGCCATCAGGTTACCGAGCCATTTGATTCCGCGTGTGTTCAGAGCCTTCAGGATTGACAGATGTGCAGACAGAGCCAGATTAGATTCTGCCTCTTTTTATTGGACTTACCCTGAATTGTAGGGTGTCTTTGTAGACCGGATTGCCAGAGATAACCAGGGAACCTCTTTAAAAGTGGCACCTGATCCCCTGCAGTCATGGAGGGGATTATAGGAGAATGGGAACGTGTGTGTGAACCACACTGACGCTTAATTACGTCTCATGTTAAGAGCAGCCTGAATCAGTTTTCTTGTATCCAAGGGATAAACAGATTATTTAAGGAGGAAAAAAAAAATACCAACAGGTCACAAATTCGTTCCAGGTAGTCAGCACTGTTAGTGACACAAATGTGTCTCAAAAACAGGTTTTCAAAAGTGTAGTTTACTTTGGTAGGGGGCCTAACGAAGCACTGGTGTCAGATGAGACGCTGTGGACGTAATATTCACAGACCCTTGCTGGCAGGTCACGGCTCCAGCTGTCAGCGTATTTAATCTGGAAAGCCTGTGGCCTCACGTGCACAAGCGAGTTCCAAGTCTGCACTTGTGGTTTGTGTGTGTGCAGCGTGCTTCCCTCGACCCTTTGGAACAGTCATGAGGCCGGTGTTTGTGACACTCCGTCCCTGCTGGCCGGAGTGGGGGGCAGGGGGAGCTGACCCGGCACACATTTAAACAGGAGACAGACAAGAATCAGTCTCTCGCTGCTTGTGTGCTGTTCCTCACTTGTCCTGGCTGCTCCAGAGAGCGTCTCCCTAACTGTGGCTCGTGCACCTTGCTGTTTTTGGTCTTGTTTGTGACATTCCCTCTGCCAGTAGCTCCTCTTACGGGGCCTGGTACACGTCGTCCTTGTCCTTCAGGCCCGGCCGCAGCTGTCTTCCTCTCAGGAGCACCCCGTCCCTTCACAGTTGTGACAAACCCAAAGAGCCTTCATGGCAGAGGCTGTGTGGGTGCAGGTGCCATCCTAGAACTAGGATGCTTGCACCCGGGACTCGGGCCCCTGATTCATAGCTCTTACCCAGCGCATCTGGGCAGCGTCTCCTCCAGCAGTCCAGTGAGGCCAGAACATGGTAGCGGCCCCGTGCGTTATTGGAGGAGCTGCAGTGCCTTCTGCTGGCACACGGTGGAGTCCAGTTGGGTGACTGGTGCCCAGGGAAACTTTCTCGAGAACTAAATCAAGTTTTACATCCAGTACTTTTGGGTCAGTACCACACATAATGCAGAGAACCTTACGCTCCTACCTGAGCACCTGGCTGCTGAACAGTAGATGCTGCGAGTCTGAATGTGATGAAACGTAACATGGGGAGGCAGCGTTTGCCCTCATCTCGTGCACACGTATCTGCAAACACACACACCTGTAGTTGTGGTCTGCACAGAGCGAGTCTTGAGTAACGGAGTGGCAATGGGAGGAGACTCTGGAAAAAGGACTTAGGAACAGGCTAACTGGGTTGAAGAAGGCCGTGATGGTGCTGAGGGGTTTTGAGGTATTTGAGAGTCGGCCCTGTTCCGAGAACCTTGTCCCCTCCTTCCTCCTCCATGTGGGTCTCCCACTCACCCCCGGCCATCACAGAATCTCCCAAGGCCTACTTTGCAGTGGGGAGAATCTGCTGCCGTTTTGGGAATTTCTAACTGTATCTCTGCGGTTACTTGAAGGGCCTGGATTCCCTCTGAGAACATCCAGGACATCACGGTCAACGTCCACCGGCTGCATGTGAAGCGCAGCATGGGCTGGAAGAAGGCCTGTGACGAGTTGGAGCTGCACCAGCGCTTCCTTCGCGAAGGAAGGTTCTGGAAGTCTAAGAATGAGGACCGAGGAGAGGAGGAGGCAGAGTCCAGCATCTCCTCCACCAGTAACGAGCAGGTGGGTGTCCCCATCAGTCACGGTGAGCGTGAGCGCTGCCGGTGCACGTTCCGACGGTTCTCCTTCCTTTCGTACAAAGGGGTAACGGGCTCTGCCAAAGGTATCAAAACCAGTTCAGGCAGACAGATAAGCAACCCTGATCCTGCCTCTCTTCCGTAGGCACATTAGTGCCCACCACCACACCTGTGCGGGAGTTCCGTGGGTGGTGACCACGTGGCCGCAGGTGTGCCAAATGCAAAAGGGGGCGGGTTACTCGCTTCTTCCCTGTGGGCCATGGCCAGTGTTGTCAGCACAGAAGTGTTTCACAGCATCTGGAGTAATGTGCTGTTGTTTTTATGATGCCCACAGCTAAAGGTCACTCAAGAACCAAGAGCAAAGAAAGGACGACGTAATCAGAGTGTGGAACCCAAAAAGGAAGTAAGTGGCCCGCCTTGCAGTGTCCAGGTGGCACTGCAACAGGAAGTATCTCCCAAGTTATGGTCAAGACAGTTGGCTCCAACGTACGGCACTTGTGAAAAGGCACTGCCGTCAGATAACATCAACCAGGTTGGAACCCGTCTTCTATCAGTAGAATAAGCCACACACAAACCAGAAGTCTCCTATCTCAGACCAAGTCTGGCTAAGTGGGAGGGCACTTGGCTGCATTTCCTGCAACTCTGCTGGTTTTCTAGTAGCATGATTAAAAACAAAGCACTTGTCCACTACATCAATTGGGTCAACATTGAAAAACTGGAGGAAACGAGGGTTAAGCTCAGCCTTTTAAAATGATACAGTCTGTTAATGCTCTAAATCCAAGGATTAATCTTAGCACAATTCCAAATACTTAGTGAGAAGTGGTTTAGAATTTTAGGATATCTGTTAATGATCTAGTCCAAAGAAGGGAGTCTAAACTGATAATGGTTTAAGTTTTAAATATTTTTGCTTAGGCTACCTGAAAAGCAAAAGACCCAGAGTATTATATGCAATGACATTATAAATGAAGATCCTATTTAGAATTACCGTCTCTATTAATTGAATGGAAGTTTTGAGGGTTTAATTGTGGTAAAATCTGCATAACAGAATTTCCCACCTTAATTCCAGGTTTCTTAACCGTAGTTTATTACGTGGCTATTTATGTGTATCGCTATGTTTTTATCCTAACAGAGCTTGTTCTTGAACTGGCGGACTGGTGGCTTTGTTTCACATCTGAGCACTGTCCTTACCCTTTAGGAACCAGAGCCTGAAACTGAAGCCGTGAGTTCCAGCCAGGAAATCCCCACGATGCCTCAGCCAATCGAAAAGGTTTCTGTGTCCACTCAGACCAAGAAGTTAAGTGCCTCTTCACCAAGAATGCTGCACCGAAGCACACAGACCACCGGTGATGGAGTGTGTCAAAGCATGTGCCACGACAAATACACTAAGATTTTCAATGACTTTAAAGACCGAATGAAGTCTGACCACAAGCGAGAAACAGAAAGAGTTGTACGAGAAGCTCTGGAAAAGGTAAAGCCCCCCCCCACTCCCTCCCCCCCCAACGAGGACCCTGAGTGTGACGAGAGTTTTCCCGTGGTGGGTTATTAGCAGCTTTCACGTGGGCATCCTCCAGGCTGCTCCTTTGTAAAGCCAGGAACATAATAAGACACCTTTGATAACATTTCAGTTAATAGTAATAACTTGTGTTTCTTCATCGAA